TCCACAGAACTCCCAAAGTCGTACATCACTTTCCCAGTACCCAGCTCCACAAAATACCCATCCACCCCCGCGAGCCTACCGAAACCCCCTGGATCAGGTTTCCGGCCCAATCAAGCATTTAAGAATGAGAGGTTGTGGAAGAAGAAAACCTTCACTCCATTGGGAGAGTCATATGCCAGTTTGTTCCAGAGGCTAAAGAAATTGGACATGTTGAAGCCGATCCAAATAAAAATGCCAAACCCTCTTCCAAAGAAGTTTGATTTTTCTCAAAGGTGCGCATACTACTCAAATGCCCCAGGGCATGACATAGAGAAGTGTTGGAATCTGAAGAACGCGATTCAGAAGTTTATTGATGCAGGCGATATTGTCGTGCAAAATCTAGATGCAGCAGACACTAGCCAAAGTCCGTCACCTATGCATAATGAGATGCATAAAGTGGGTATGATTTATTTTGAAAAGTAATGTGAGAGTTCTTCTGGGATCCTCGGAGGTCCACGCGCTACGAAGCTTTCAGCGCTAATAGAGGTTGATCTTAAGAACGATCAGGCAAAGGGAACCCAAAGGCAATCTGTTAAGAACAATGTGATGGAGACTTGTGAAGGTCCTAGTATTGTTGATGCAGAAGTCAGTGGCTAAGATGTTGAGTTTGATGATTAGAAAGATGCTCTTTTCTTGGTTAGCCAGGGAGGAGTTTTGGTGGTTTATTTTGTTGTCACTTCTGTTGTCCGGGTTATTTCAAGGTTGTAATCCGGATATTGTCTTATGACTCAAACCCTTCTATCCTTTTATTTTGCCTAGTTTGTTTAGTCATAGTAGACCGTTTAGTATTGTCTAGGTTTGTAACCCCAGTTTAGTTTGTTTGTTTTGTTGTCCAAACCTTTTCACCATCTATCTAATGCAATTTTCTGTTTTCTGTGATTTCTAGTCATTTTCGTTTAGTTCTCTTTTCTTTTTATAGTTCTTTTCCTGTTGACTCTAGTGAAATAACATGCACGCGTAATTCTCAGCATAGTTTTAAAGTCAGTTTAATCACGAAGCAATGAAACAATGTTGAAGATGTAGGGATATTTGAGGGAAATAAGTAAAGGCATTTTGAGATCACTTCAAACCCGAATTGTGTGAAACTAAGGCAGATAGAACACAAAGAAACCCTATTGAAATGCATCATGCTGCATCGGATTTAAGCGAAAGGAAAGTTTGCCCAAATTGATAGTAGTCGTTCGTGGTAATGAGAGTGAGAGTGTTGTTCAATGGTGCTTTGTACTTAACAGATGTAGAAGGCAAATGAGTGGATATGGCTATCAATTTTGATGCAGTCAAAAGATATTATGTGTGATTTCTTTGGTTTGTTTAATTGTGCCGTTTGCATCTGCCATACTTTGAAGATTGGAATGACGAAGGCATTTTGTTCTGCTATCTAAACACTTTATCCTTTGTTACCCCCTTTGAGCCTTATTTACTTCCTTTCGTACCCCTCTTTTGGAATCAGTAGCAAAGATCAGAAACGCAAGCGCGAAAGATAAGTAAAGGAAAAGAGAGAAAAGAAAAGATGAAAATTGGAAAAAAAAAAGAATAAAAAAAGAGGAAAAAGAAGAAAGAAAAAACAACAAAACAACAAAAAGAGAAAAAGGAAGAAAGAAAAGAAAGAAGAAAAATCACAACAATAGAGCAATTCTTATGACATGAACAACGTTTGACCTGATTCCTTTTAAGGATACATAGGCAGCCTCACGGTTCGGTCCCATCAAAATAAAAATCCAAAAGTCCCCAAGCAAGAAACTAGGGTAGAAGTTGTGGTTGTTGTAAGAAATCTGATTCTAAAAGTTGTAATTTTGAACCCATGTGAATTGTTTTGAGCCTTTGATATCCTTTCTTTTTAACCCTATCCAAAAGCCTACGTTACGGTCCAAAGAAAGACCTTCCGATCAGTCTTCGAGAGATGTCAAGTCAAGCAAGGAAAGGTAATTCATATCAGGGGCAACACTCTGGTCCAAGCAGAAAAATAATGAAAACAAGAGAGTCTTATTGGTGAAAACCATCATGGGCACCGTAAGGCGACGGGAGCAGAGAGAAATAAAAAATGAGAGAGTCTTACTGGTGAAAACCCTCGCGGGCACCGTAAGTCGATGGTAAGTTGAGAGAAAGAACAAAATGAGAGAGGCTTGATGGTGAAAACCCTTCGGGCACTACAAGTCGAATAAGGATTGTGAATCAGATTGGATAACCGGAGCATTGAAGCACAGTTTCACGGCTTAGGGGTATAATAGGAGTGGAACATCAAACTTGCTCAACAGAATAGGCCATAGGTGCATGTCATGGTCATTAGAGTTGGTATCCACATCTGATAGGTTTCTACTTTGTAGTTTTCTTGTTACGAATCATTTCTTTCCTTTGTCCTTTACTCTGTTCCTTTTGTCTTGTTTACTTCCTTTTCCTGAATCTGTTTGGTCAAAATAAGTGATAAATGACTTCAAAATTTGCCACCAACTTTTTAATTGCACAAAACGGGATCTGGCTAGCACATCAAAGTGGCATAAGTCAGTAAAAACAGCAAACGCACTAAGTTGGTAACAATCAACATGCTTTGGGATTCGTGTGAAATACAAAGGCTTGGTATATATCAATTCATGAACAATGCAACAGATAGAGGGTTAGGGTGAACAGATCAAAGGTATTTTCTGTGATAAGATTGACAAAAAAGGGTGGTAAACCAGTGACAAGCAGGATCTTCCCAGCAGAAATCAAAGTTATCATGGCAAGCGATGGAGCAGTGGACCTCAAAGCCAAGGCCAGTGATTTAAATCAGGAAAGAACAGCATGCGCACTGAGTGGATGGCAATTGACGTGCTTTGGGATTCATGAGAAACACAAAGGTTCAGTACATGTCAATGCAAGAGCACAATGTAACAGATGAATGGTATTGGGTTTGAACGGATCAGAGGTATTTTCCGTGATAAGGGTGATATAGAAAGTGGTTAATCAATAAACAAGCAAGGTCGTCGAGTGGAAATCAGTTATCATGGGAAGTGAAGGAGCAATCGCCCTTAAAGTCAAGGCCACAAACCAACCACCACATTTTTAAACTGATAAGATTTTTCTTTGATTTGAAACAGGGGCAGAAAATCTCGTTTGTTTCAGAGAAACCATCTGCAAGGAAAGGTAAGCACCAGGCAGGTTTGACCTTAAATTTTTAGGACCCTCCTGGAAAATGGGACCTAGTTTAAAAATCAAAACAATCATGAGTAGCAAAATCTAGCATAAATGTACCCCAAGGAATATAAGTTGGTTTCAAAGTTTGCATGTTTGAGATAAGATTTAATTAGGAGTTTTCAGGACCCTCCTGAATAATGAGACTTAGTTTTAAGATTTCCATTAGATAACAAGATGTAGCGGAAGTAATACCTTTACAAGACATAATTTAGACTAAAAATTGTCATTTAAATAGGAGTTGTCAGGACCCCTCCTGGATAACGAGATCTAGCTTTCAAATTCTTGATAATGTTTGGTAACATGATTCAGTTTAACACTCACAGATGTGCTCAACTACCAAACTGGGGCAGAAAATTTTCTTTGTTTTGTCTATTTTTGTTGAAAGCAGGCACCCACTTGGAGAACATGGAGAAGCAATTCCAGTTCAGCAATCAGGCACCCACCTGGAGAGCACGGGAATACAATTCAAGTTCAGCAGTTAGGAGCCCACCTGGAGAGCATGGGAATACAATTCAAGTTCGGCAGTCAGGTGCCCACCTGGAGAGCACGGAAATACGGTTCAAGTTCAGCAGTGAGGCGCCCACCTAGAGAGCACGGGAATACAGTTCAAGTTCAGCAATCAGGAGCCCACCTGGAGAGCACGGGAATACAGTTCAAGTTCAGCAATCAGGCGCCCACCTGGAGAGCACGGNNTATAATTCGAGTTTAGCAATCAGGCGTCCACCTGAAGAAAAGAGAAAGTGTCTCAGATCACAATTCAAGTCGGCAATAAAGGGATTTCATCTAGAAAATACAAGTCAACAAGGCAACATTAATTACAAGATCAAGTTTGAAGATATAGATATGATTATTGTAATGCATAGATCATAGTTCAGTCTAGCTTCTTTTATTTTGTCATGGTGTAATAAGGAAGTCAGTAAGTAGTAGCACCTGCAGCTAGCAAACGTCAAGGTTCAAATCCAAAGTCTGCATAAAGAATCATTCAAGACTCAAGATCAAGCTTCAGAAGACTTATAGATAGGAATCTTGTAACTTGTAGTTGACAGGCTTAGCTAGTCTTTTCATCTTTTGATTTTTTGATGTAATAAAAGGACCGCAGACCGGAATCTCGGCGGAACGGCACCTCGACTGGTTCTCCACCTCGGCATACTCCATCATCTCACTCACCTCTGAACTACACGTGGCCTGATTCCTTTATAGCCAAGGATATGTAGGCAGCTCAGATACAGGGCTCGGTCATATTCCCCTTTCTTTTAGTTTTAGTCTCTCCAAATAAGGGTCGGGTCAAAAAATCTGTCTAGTCGTTCTTTATCTGAAAATACTTCGTATTTTCAGTCAAAGAGGGGCAGCTGTAAACATGTGATTTTTGACCCTCCCCAAGATTTTTTATATTTTAGAACGTAAATATTTAATTTAGGCCTAATATAGCTATTTCAACTAATTTTTACTCTTTTACTTTATTTTATTACAAGAAAATAAAAATTACAAAAAAATAGTTTCATTAATATTTTGTAGTCATTTTTAATCTTGGAAAATACCAAAAAATAGTTTTGTGTTAACGGTCAGCCTTATTTTAATAGTTATTTTACTTAAGTAGGATTAATTAATAAATGAGATCGTATTTTTAATCTCGTTCGCGGGGAAAGAATAAAACTCGGGCTCGAACTACCCATTTTTAGGCCTAATTTTGAACCTAGCCCATAATTCCTAGGCTCATACCCCCTAACCTAAAAAATTCTATAAAACAATTAGACCCTAGACCTAACAAAGAGACCTGACACACAGAAAAAGGAGATGGGCATCAGCTTCTTCAAGAAGAACAAAGCAGCAGTCGCATCTCTACACCTCCATGCTGTCACGAAAAACCCAGTGACACCTCTCCCTTCTCTATATAATCATTTTCTTCTTAAGAGCAAGCAAACCTTTCAATCCTTCCCAGAAAATCTTTCTTCATTAACTTATGATTTGTTTCGTCTCCTAAAATTTGCAATAGAGAAAACTCATAAAGATTCCAAATCGGAGCTCCGGTGACCTTTCGATTTTGACCCTCTTAAATAGTGTGTTTCTTCGAAAATAGAACTTTGAACGAGTATTCTGGTCTAAGTGGAGAGGGTCGATTTGTTATTGGCACGGGGTTTTGTTCATGATCCGTCGTGTTTGTATCCCCGTTAGCTTCTTTGGCCGCTACTCAATTAAAGGTCTATTCTTCACTTTATTTCTTCTTATATTTTCAGGTTTCATAATTGTTTTGGTGTTTGAACGGAACATTTGTTTGGCATGTATTGATAAAATAGGAATATACATGTCTTAGGCCTAATATTTGCAAGCTTCAGTTACTATTCACTCTTTCGATTCCATTTCACTTAGTGGGTTTTATTTCTTAACTTTCTTTTTCCTTAGTTAGAGATTCCTAGTAATTTTTCATATGAAGTTGAATTTTAATTTGGATGGCAGTGGTTCGTGAGCTTGAGTGATTTCGAAAAGGAAGTAACAGTACGTAATTGATTTGAGAAGAGAACATAATTACTTAACTTAGAGTTGGTGTGAGTTAAAATAAGCTGAGTTTTCTCCGTGGATATTTTTGAAAGAGGCTGCTGCTTTTGGACGTTGCCTGAAACGAACACCATCTTTGAAAGTTGTAGAGAAAATCAAAGATTATCAATAAAATGAAGTGGGTGTTGGTTAATTTATTAAAAGAAGCTGTTTTGACACTTTGAATATTAGTTTGTAGAAAGTCTTGTAATTTTGGCGTGAACATTGAAATGACAGTTATGTAAGAAATGGTCAAAGGAAAATAGGAGAACTACTAGTTGTGTATTGTTTTCTTTTCCTACGCGTTTTTATGTTGGTTTATTTGTTTATCCTTTGGATGACTTTGACGCTACTGGTATCTTATTTGCCTATGTGAATAAATTAATTAAAACCTTGATCTTGCTCTTGTCCTTTTTTTTTTAGTTTTCTGTTGTTTCCTTTGGTTACTTATAAGTGCGTAGAATTTTAAACTGAAAAATAATATTCCAAAGTTGCTATATTTTTCTTGTCAGTAGTACTTCATGATATAGTCAATATGTATTAGCATGTCTTTATCCTAGAGAAAAGGTGAATATACTATGGACTTGAAAAGCACTAATAATTCTTAACATAGGAAAATAACTCAAATGCGCTAGTTGCTTTAGGCACGATTAATAAACCATAGTGATTATGGGTACGGTTCCCATGATGTAGTTACGATGCCTAATTCCAAAATTCGGGGGTGCATTTCATGTGACCCGATAATAACAACTTCGAATAATAAAACAATTTGGAATAATTCGAGGCGTGCCATGCCAAATAAAATCCCGAAACCCATGGCCCTCACTCAATTAATTTTAATCCTTAGAAATCGAGGCGTGCCATTTAGTTGAATTTCCATGGCCCTCCCAAACTTGAAAATGCGCAGTTATTTTAGGCGCGCTATTTAATAATTTATCTTCCTAAACTCGGGTGCGCATTTATGTGACCCAAATCCAAATCTCGACAATGTTATATAAAATGTGTTGCGGATTGCGGGTGCATTTATGTGACGCGGTTCAAGACATATTTTAAATGACGTTGCAATCTTCCTAAAAATGAATAAGAGCGGTTAATAAGTTAAAATGGCACCATAGGCTAAAACATGTATTAAAATCAGATAATATGCCAATTATAACAGTTAAGCGACCGTGCTAGAACCACGGAACTCGGGAATGCCTAACACCTTCTCCTGAGTTAACAGAATTCCTTACCCGAATTTCTATGTTTGCGGAATGTAATACAGAGTCAATCTTTTCCTCGATTCGGGATTTGAACCGGTGACTTGGGACACCATAAATTATCCCAAGTGGCGACTCTAAACTTAAATAAATAAATAAATCTTGTTTTGATTGTCACTTAAATTGGAAAAAACTCCCTTATACCCTTACGGGGGTGTAGTAAAACGGAGGTGTGACACCTACTCCAACTTCCGAAAATCTAATCCGACCCCGATATCAAAATTTTCATTGCCGGCCAAAATCGCCAAAATTCTAACTTTCGCCAATTCAAGCCTAATTCTACCACGGACCTCCAAATAATATTCCGGACACGCTCCTAAGTCCAAAATTACCTAACGAAGCTAACAGAACCATCAAAATTTAAATCCAAGGTCGTTTACACATAAGTCAACATCCGGTCAACTTTTTCAACTTAAGCTTTCAATTAAGAGACTATCTGTCTCAATTCACTCTAACACCACTCCGGATCCTAACCAACTAATCCGGTATATCATAATATAGTTGTAGAACACAAAAAAATAGGAAATAGGGGAACGGGACTATAACTCTCGAAACGACCGATTGAATCATTACAAAGATTGGGTTTATGTCAAGATTCAACCGTACAGGCAGCTTACCATGTCTCAGCATCACTTTAACAAGCTTTCTGCCAAGTACTATGGTCCATATATGGTGGAGTAGAAGGTAGGTTCAGTGGCATACAAGCTAGTCCTTCCAACTGAGCTTATGTTGCACCCCACATTTCATGTCTCTTTGCTCAAGGCTTGCTATGAAGTACCAACTCAGATTTCTCACCCTCTAGTACTTAACCTTGCCAGTCTATATTGCCCTCAGCTAAAAGTGGTGCTCGATAGGAGAATGATACAGAAAGGTGGTAAGGTTGTTGCTCAACTTTTAATTCAATGGGATTAGATGTCAGAAGATCGAGCAACATGAGAGGATGCCAAAATTATCAGATTGAGGTTTCCAAACTTCCTTCCTTGAGGATAAGGAAGATGTTAACAAGGGGGAATTGCTACCAGTTTGGCTTGGGATGAGAAGTGGATCCTTTTTATTATTCACAATTGCTTAGCCCATATGATAATACTAGTATATGTTACTCCCTCCATTTCATATTAAATGAGGTACTTTCCTTTTTAGTCTGTTCCAAAATAAATGACACATTTTTAAATTTGGAAATAATTCAACTTTAAACTCTTTCATTTTACCCATTTACCCTTAATGAGAAGCTTTTATAGCCACACAAATGTCATGGCCCCACAAACTTTTTACCCCTTAAGCTTTTAAGACCACAAGTTTCAAAAATCTTCTTTTTTCTTAAACTCTGTACCGAGTCAAACTACCTCATTTAAAATGAAACGAAGGGAGTATTATATTTACATATTCAACACTTTATTTCCTTTTATTTCTAGTTTTGCCTAAGAGTTAGTTATGCCAGCTCAGCCACTATCACGTGGACTGAGCTGTGGAATTCCAATCCCACCATATAGCTTGTAGCCCAGCTCAAGAGCACCTATTGTGAAGTGAATGCACTCTGTTATTTTCCTTTCTCTCTCTTATTTTCTCTTAATTCCCTCTTAGGGTATCATTTGCGAAGGTTCAATTGAGTGCTCACACTCAATATTCAGGAGTAAAAGCTACAAAACTTTGTACGGCTCGCTATGTTTCTATATGGGAGCACTAAGCCCCCAAAACTGCATTACTTACCTAAGACCCTTTAACAAATTTCTACCTTATTCACAAGTTCAAAAATTTTATTTTATGTATAAGGTTTCACTAACATGAGGCGTAAGTTAGGAAATCTTATCGGGAACATATCTCATATCCGCTGGACTTGAGAAGTCACATCTTTTCTTGGAACTTATCATAATGGGTCTCATCTGAGTAGTAGGTGTCCAAGTTGGAGGGTGGTGCAGCCACAGTTATGTCTGTAAACGCTGATTGAGTGAAAGAAGCATTTTCCTTAGTATGATTGCAATGGGGCAATCTTTTATGATATGGCTCGACTATTTCTCTCAGTAATATGCTAATCAATCAAATAATTCAATAAAGCAGATTTCCAAAATTTATAATGTATATTTTTCTGTATATAGAAAATGTTTACTGATGGGACTTTTAATTTTTTTTTCATATCGCAAAATTAAATACCTAACTTTTAAAATTTTAAAAATAATAATGTTGCTTTAGAAGTCATGAGACTTTTAAAAATAGTTGCCTTCATATCCAAAGTCACTTATTTGATTAAACTTTTGATTGTTAATCTTCGTATGTAGGTTCAGATGATCTACATTGATCATTCACAAAAACTAGCTTGTAGTTTATTCATTCATGTATAATTATTTATTCAACTGAAAAGGCCTAAAAATGCCACTTCTTACAGAAATGATCTATCTATGCAATCTGTTAAAAGGTCTCTATTTCCATGCCTTTATCGTTATACTTTTGGCCTATTTATGCCACTTATTGCCAAACAGTCCCACTTTTTTGCTTTTAAATAATTAAAATTAATTTTTCGACCCCACATTTCATGTGTCATTATATTACTGGTTCTTCTTTACCCGACCTTACATTTCTTTTTACCCCAGTTATGTTTAATAAACCATGCCACCACATCTAGGAGGAGCTAATGCAGTCAATTTCTGAATACTCTACTGCCCTGCATCCCAGAAATATGAAACTGGAACTTTGCCAGGTTTGCCACCACCAGCTCTATGGTTAGCTGGTGGAGATTGTTCTCTATCATTAGGCACACCTCTCCACCAAATTTCAGACAATTCCACTGTGGGGATCACCGTCTCCGACGAGCTGCAGATCTCCGGTATAACAGAAATGACCGACCATGGAGTTTCAGGTATTCATTTGGGGAAAACTCGATACTAATCTGCTAGCCCTGATGAGGAGAACCTGTTTGCACCTCCAATTTCACATGGGTATCAACCACCAGCTTCAATTTTGGAATCAAAGATCACTGGCAGTGCGAACACACCAGGTGTTCGACAAAATGGTACTTTCATTTCTGGGCCAAATTGTGGCCAGCTAACCATTGGAATTTCTTCTACAACACCTAAGGAGCAGGCTTGCAAAGTTTCAGACCAATCCAACAAGGGAATTGATCACCACGATCAGATAAACACCCTAGAAATGCACCAGTTGGCCGAAGATGATGTTCCGGCGATCCAAAATGGCCAAGGCCAATGCCAAATTGTTTATTATGCTGAGGAGATTGATTATGTTCAATCAGACTACCATAACAATAAATCAATCGACGCATCAATGCAAAAAATGACTTCACCAGACTTAACTGTTTCAGAACTGAAGTGAAGGAATTAGGGGTTGGGTTAAAACATAACCAGGGTTAAAAGAAATGTATGTCCAGGTAAAGAACAACCAATAATATAAAACACATGGAAATATAGTGACAAAAAATTAATTCTAATTATTTAAAAACAAAAAAGTGGAACCGCTTGGCATTAAATGGCATAAATAGGGCAAAAGTATAACGTTAGTGGATGGAAATAGCGACCTTTTAAAGGATGGCATAAATAGGCCATTTCTGTAAGTTAGTGGCATTTTTAGGCCTTTTCCGCTTATTCAAAGCTTTATTTTATAAAAAAAAATTAGGCCAAACTCATAAGCGGCCCATTTAAGTTGGCTCCGCTTTTCATTTTGACACCTCTAGTCAAACTTTTTCCTTTTTGACACTCCAACCCTTTACCTCATGTGTCTTCTAAACACAAAACACTGACCTGTCACATTGAGTGAGCCTCGTCACCCAGGTCACGCGTGAGGCCTCTAGGAGGGGTAAAATCACTACCCTTTTCACGGTATTAAATTTTACCGTTGGAGTCCCATTTATACCTCACTTTCCCCTACCCTTTCTCCGTTATGAGATGTAAAAAAAATCCCTAATTCTCAAAAGCTCCATCGCCATGAATATTTAAAGGTTGCTTTCTTTTCTGCAATTTGTCGAAGCTTTAGTCGAAATTAATAGGAAAGCGAACTGTATTGCCCTAATTTGTTAGTTGCTTCTTCTTCTTCCCTGATTTTTAACTCGAACTCCATAGCCCCAATTTGTTAGTTGCTTCTTCTTCTTCTTTCCTGATTTTTAACTCGAACTCCATAGCCATGTCGGAAAGAG